GATATCATGTATCATTTTTATATCTAATTGAATTAAAGAATTTGAGGTGGTTTGTGTATCGAACTTTAAAAGATGTCTCGCTGAGTCTAAAATACACTTTTTTTTTTGTACTCCGGATTGTTTGAACAAACGGTGGCTTGATAAAAAATGTTGTTAGAAAGACAATGGTTGTTCATCGGATATTTGGATTTATCAATGCAGCTGCATGTTTTTTTATTAACTTTTGCTTCCTCATGTAACGTGTTTTTATTGTGAGAGTTGATAATGGATTTTATGTTTGGCATGCAGGAATAACTTATTTTAATTGTATTTCTATTAAATCTTTTACGGAGTCTGTTAACTAGAAAGTGGTGGTCGATGAGGTTAAAAAAACGTTTACCAATTTTTGTTACAACATTTCCACTGAAAGGAGGGTTATACCAAATTATGTTAAGTTTATGGTTGTTGTTTGAGGATTTTATACTTGGATGGTATGCAAGTTCGCAAGTGTGTCCAGATTTTTTCAGGGCTTCTTGATAAGGAGGAATACTTTCTTTAAAAATCAATTCACTTGACGATGCTGCTGATAATCTTAACTTAATGATTTTTGGAACACTTTTTATTATACTCGGTGGGTGGTTAGAACTTGAATGTATGTAATTAAGTATATTATCTGGTTTGCGGTAGGGTTTAAATGAACCATCTTTAAGGTTTAGCGTTAAATCCAAAGAATTAACTATTTTTAAATTACTTTTAATGGATATTAAAAGATTGTTAATTTTAAAGATTTGTACAAAATGTTTTTTTATCTTTTCCATTTCTTGACCACTCTTGTTTCTAAATATAGGTAATCCGTCATCTCAATATATACCGAAATTATTTTTATCATAAAACTGCGAAATTTGATATAAAATAAAAATACCAACTAATTTGCAAATCTCCGCTCCATCTAAGGCCCCCATAGTGACATCAAAAAATACTATCTTTTTCTTAATCCAAGAAGCTCCATAGTTAAATAATAACAATTTTCTTGCATGGTATATAAAACTCTTTTGCTCACTATTTATTATTAGATGTTGCTCTGCAAAGGATAACGCATTTTTTAGCAGGTTTTTATTAATCGATGGATAAAAATCATTAATATCAAAAACAAAAAACTTGCAGAATTGTTTTTCTTTTATGGTTTGAAACCAGTGTATAACATTTTGAGTGTTTTGCCATCGGTTCAAAAATTGTTTCTTTCTCAGCTCGGAATTAATGTTGGATAAAATAGATTTTGAAATTCTTCCAATCTCATTTTTCGCAGGATTAAAAAGTCTAACAGTTGGTTTATCTAGGAAGTTTTCTTTGTGGTCTTTTAGAGTTATGAAACAATTTTGAGTACCGTTAATTCCAATTTTATTGTATACATAATGGTTAATTGAAACTTGTTAACCTTGTATGTTTATTTGATCTTTGAGTTTAGGGTCAGCCTTTTTATACGTAGAAGTAAATGCATTATTAAGGAGATGGTTGTACTGATCTTTAGATAATTTGTACATGTTTGATGTTTTGTTGGCTAGAGTTAAAGTTTTTTTTGAGGTTCGTATAGATTTTATATCGTTTACTAATTTTTTTTAAAAAACATTGTTGAATTTCCAAATTTTGATGGTTTTAACAAGATTTATAATATATTACAAGAGTACAAAGATTACAAGAGTACAAAAAAAAAGTGTATTTTGGACTCAGCGACACATCTTTTAAAGTTCGATACGCAAACCACCTCAAATCTTTTGATTCAATTAGATATAAAAATGATACAGAGTTATCTAAAGAAATATGGAAGTTAAAAAAAAAAAAATTTACACCTTTGTCAGATGGAAAATTGTTAAACATTGCAAGCCATAAAACCCAACATCAAGAGTGTGCAACATCTGTTTGAACGAGAAGTTTCAAATTCTAATGTATAAAGGTAAAAACCTACTTAACACAAGGAGTGAAATAATCTCGAAGTGAAGGCACAAAAATAAATTCCTTATTTCCTCCTATGATACCGCAGATTCATCCTGATAGGTTTACGTCACTTTTACGCCAAGTGATACTCTAAAAACTTCGAGTTTTGTTTCAATGGAGTCATTAGAACTTACGCCACCGTAATTTTAATTGTAATTTTAACGTCTGTTTTAAATTTTGTAATATATGGCTGATGATTGCCGTTAGACATGAAACTAAAAGTTCCATAATAAAAGTTTTTTCTTTTTTCGTTTTTATATATATATATATATATATATATATATATATATATATATATATATATATATATATATATATATATATATATATATATATATATATATATATATATATATATATATATACATATATGTAGCAATAGGCAAGTGCGCTACCACAGCAGCCGTGGCGCAGTGGTAGCGCACTTGCCTCAAAGACGTAAAATCCGTGGTTCAAACCCCACCTCTGTAAAAGTTTAGCGACATCGGTTGGGAAGGAGGCGTAAACTTCCTATTAAATGCTCTTCCGCGGTGCTCTGTGATAAGACCGCAAGGACTTTTAGGGGCACCTAAAAAAGTAAAAATTAATTAAATTATATATATATATATATATATATATATATATATATATATATATATATATATATATATATATATATATATATATATATATATATATATATATATATATATATATATATATATATATATATATATATATATATATATATATATATACGCCATATTTGAATAAAGTTGCACATGCGTCATGCACCGTTTTTTGTTTTTTTTTTAACGTTTTTTAAGGGTATTGTAAAATACGAAGTTTTATGATAGAAAAAACCTTTCCGAATGTTTTACTTATACAACCGTCCTTTAAGCGATTATAAAATGGCTACAAAACGTTTGCAAAACGTACTTGTGCTAACTGGGAAGTTTAATTGCATTGAAACTCTTTGGTACTATGCTTTTAACCTTTTGTTTCGCAAACAAAAAGAAAACGACATCAACACTGTATTTTAACGCCTAATCTTTATACGTTGATACAGAAAGGTTTGTTTATAATAATTTAAAAGTATAAGAATTTGAAGTTGGCCAATAAAGTTCAAGAAAAACATTAAAAATGGCGCAACGTGTTGAGTACTTAAATCTACTCAACGGTTTACTTTATATAATTTGAACACTAAGAAATAACTACCATGTGAGTTTCAATAATATATTTAATAGTAAAAAGAGTTGTAAGTTAGTAAGGTTAATATACAACTAGCATAAGAGAGCATGGCTTAAGACGCAATGCACTGCGAGAAATAGTTATAACCAATAGATTATTCGCGGGAAGCCAAATAGGCTTCAACACTCCCGGCCACCATTTACAAGTAAAGGAATATTCTTCTCGTTAATCAAGGCAACAGTTACTATTTTTTCATTGTCTGAATATTCAGTAGAACATAGCTTATTAATGGGTCGAATAATTAAACACGAACTACCATTCTCTTGTTTGTAACAAACTTTAGCAACGCGAACAACTCCGTCGTTTGAATATAACAATTCTTCAACACGTGCTAATTTCCATAATTGTATTTACAGTTATCACTTTCAATTAATACAACGTCATTAATACGAATACCATTACATCCATTACTTCGCTTTGATTTATGATATTCACGCAACTCTGTCAAGTACTCACTTTTGAATCTACTTCTAAAATGATTCAATGTATTAGATAACATACTGTTTCGTATATGCACATCTTGTTCTATATCGTTACAAGCACTAAGACTTGATTCTAGCTTAAGCTTATGTCCAAAAACTAAGTGATTAGGTTTGAGTGCTTCATCACCTTGATTGTTATACAAATAAGTTAATGGTCTGTTATTTAGTACCATTTCAATTTCAGAAAGCAACGTTCGTACTTCTTCATAGGAAGACTTCGAATTCTTTAAGGCCTTCTTCAAACATCTTTTAGTCATTCGTACTAGTCGCTCAAACATCCCTCCCCACCACGGTGCCGAAGGCGCATTAAACTTCCATTTTATAGAATGGTTTGCAGCAAAGTACTGAGTTTCAGTTGAAACAAATTGTGAACCATTGTCTGAATAAATAATTTCTGGAACACCCCGTCTTCCAATAAATCTACGGATACCCATAATGCATGATCTAAATGAACAGTCAGCTACTAAGTCTAATAAAATCGAACGACTACTGCAACATGTAAATAAGAAAATCCATGCTTTATTCAACGTACAATCGCCATAAATATCTTTAATATACAGCGGACCAGCATAATCCAAAGCAATACTTTTAAAAGCGAAATCAGAATTTAAACGGTTTTCAGGCAAAGGAGGAGCAGGTGGGTAAGAATAAGGCCTACCCTCTATACGCCGACAAGTTGTACATTCTTGTATCACGCTCTTTGCTAATTGCCTACAACAAGGTATCCAATACTGGGATCTTAAAGCATTAATTGTTTCTTTCACACGATTGTGCTTGACAAGCTTATGAAAATGTAAAATTAATAATTTAGCAAAATAACAGTTATTGAAAATAAAAATAGGAAATTTTGTATCGTATTCTAAATCAGCATGTTCAATTCTGCCACGACATCGATATATACCATCGCTAACAAATAAACGTAAATCTTTTCGTAATTGTTTAAATTTATTCTCATCGATTAGATTTATCTGTGAAAATTTAGTCCACAATCGCTTTGCATTATCTATTTCTTCAGCTGTAATTAAACCAGTCTTGAAGATGTTCTTCTTTTTATCTTTCGCATTATTGATAAACCGAAGAATCCACCAAGTTACTCGAAGTAAATACCTAAAATCACTAAATTTATCAACATTAATAAAGTCAAGATTAACATTAACCTTAACATGTACCACATTACACAAAACTTCAAATGTTTCATTTGAATGATTAACATGTTCATAATATGGCCATTTAATATTAATATCATTTAAAAAAATGGGTCCATAAAACCAAAGTTCATTATTATTTAATTTCTAAAGCGAAGATCTTCGTGATATTATATCTACAGGATTCCTAAAGGATTCAATATCAAATTGTTGAATCAGTCCAATATACTATATTTGAAATGTTATAAATAGATATCAATTGATCGTAAATAGATGCTAATAGCTTTGCTAAAAGTAAAGTTGCAGAAAGCTCTAATCGAGGCATTGTGTTCTTGCCTAATGGGGCAACCCTAGACTTCAAAGCTATTAAAGAGGCACGACTAAAATTAGCATTAAAAAATCTAAGATAAACACAACACCCAAACGACTTGCATCAGAAAAGCCATGTAATTCAAATTTTGCATTATTTATATCACTCAAACCAGGACTCATATACCATCGAGGTACTGCTATTTGAAAAACAGATTTGAAATCACTTAAAATAAGATTCCAAGTAGACAATAAATCACCATACAAATTTTCATTCCAACCTAACTTAGAAACACAAATCCTTTGAAATAAATTTTTACAAGTTACAACTACTGGATCAATAAGACCTATTGGGTCATAAATACTGGCAATAAAACTTATCACCTCCCTCTTTGTTGGAACTATTGAGGCTACATTTAATAAATCCTCAAATGAATAAATTATTGAATTATTGTCTTATTCCATTTGAGGCCTAAAACTCTTGTATTCGTTTGTCTCTCATAATTGTCACCGCTAATTTGTTTATCAAAAGCTGAAGAATTAGACTCAAACTTTCTTAAGTTAAATCCTCCTTCTTTTAATATGTCTTTACATTTATTAAAAAATAAAATACCTTCTTCAATGGTAACACAGCTAGAAATCAAATTGTCTATATGCAAGGATTGCAACAACTTTGAGGAAATATTATTATCATTAAGGCAATATCTCTCAGCATGATATTTTAATGTGGCATTGAGGAGAAATGGAGACGAAGTAACTCCAAAAGGCACTCTACATATACGATAAGTAGCCAATGCAGATGAAAATCTATACCTAAGTTTTCTAAACTTCTAATTTGAACTTCAATATTATCATGAATACGTCTTAATAAAGAAATGTTGTTAATACTTTGCACTCTCTCTAGAGATAGAAGTGACTTCATATGTGTCAAAATTAACAGTTGTTTATCATTAAATCTTTCCTTAATTCCAATGATGTATGATAGTTGTCATTTGTTAATGCTAAGCCTGAAATTGTTTTTAAAGCTTTCCCGTCAAGTAAATTTCTTAGATAGTTAAGTTTTTGTATTGGGGAAAGATCATTATTATTATGGATGGCACATTCAAAATTTTCGTAAAAGGTCTGCCATTCCTCTGGCTTTGCACTAAAGGTACTTAATTTTAAAGGTGGAAGTTTAATGTTATTATTTGAAAAACTTTTTAAACTGCTAGATTGCAACTCGTTAATACTTTTATAAATATTATCGTTAAATTTTTTAATTATTTTTATGTTCTTTTTGAAAAATAAAGAAAACTCGTTAGCTAAATTTTCACCATTTAACAATTCCTCATTATCTTCAATTAAATTGATCAAATCATCATCAATTGCTTTAACTTTATTATATTTTTCGATCAAAACTTCTATAAAACTAGATAGTTCCTCAAAAGAGTTACTATCCTGGCTAAAATTAGTCATACACTCATTGGCCCTTTCAAATATATTTTTAAAAGAAGTGACCGTAATGGTACAAACACGTCGTTTCCCAGCAATACTCAACATTATATAAAAACCCTATAAATGTCAACAACAAATAATGCTTACTTAAAAAAAAAACTATGGTCAATTCTGACACAAACACAAATAAATTACAAATATATATATTTTTTTAATGCTAATAAAAACACGTGCTTGATGGATGGGTCAATCCTTTTTTTTGGGTCAATCCTTTTTTTGGGGGGTTGTTGATACAACCCCAAAAAAAAGATTTGACCCAAAAAACAAGTACAATATCAATTAGTACTTAACTTCAACTTTATCTTCTCACAAACTTTAATCTTTGTTCGAACTTGAGAATCAGCAACGAAATTTAATAACAGCTGGTAACTTTCAGAACAGCAACAACTTTAAAAACAGCTGATAACTTCAGGATCAACAGCAACTTAAACGATAGCTGATAACTTTAGGATCAGCAATAAACTTGAACGATAGCTGATAACTTTAGGATCAGCAATAAACTTGAACGATAGCTGATAACTTTAGGATCATCAATAAACTTGAACGATAGCTGATAACTTTAGGATTAGCTACAAATATCTCCGTGGGCTCCAAATATTGAGTACTTAAATGTACTCAACGGTTTACTTTATATAATTTGAACACTAAGAAATAACTACTATGTGAGTTTCAATAATATATTAGGTATGGTAATACCTAATATATTATTGAAACTCACATAGTTAGTATGTTAAGTATGTTAGTATAATAAGTTAGTATGGTTAATATACAACTAGCATAAGAGAGCATGGCTTATGACGCAATGCACTGCGGGAAATAGTTACAACCAATAGATTATTCGCGGGAAGCCAAATAGGCTTCAACACAACGAAACGGCAAACAACAACTTTTTTATAAACTTTATATTAAATAAATGGAGTACTACAAGAATAAATGAAATTTTGATAGAAAATGAATGAAACTTTAAACTTTAGTTATTTAGAAAATAAAAATTCTTTTTTAAAAATTTTTTTAGTTGTCTTTTTAATCAAATGTCGTGTTATGACTTGAAGTAAGAAAACAAGCTTAAACTAACATATGCTTTTTAAATGAAGTGGTTCTATTTAATTATTGAGTTTTAATAAACCCTTTACTAAATAATTGCAATTACTAATAGCTAAAACTTTGCAGCATAATTCATTTTTTAATATTTTAATAAAATCATTTCAGTGAATTTTGTTGTTTTTTGTCCAGTAAAACTTGTGTTTTTTTAAAATTGTCAGTTACTTTTGTTTAATTGTCAGTATGCTCATACTTCCGAGACGACTTGAAATTGCTTTAATGTTTGCGGCTCGATGAACTTTCCTCTATTTTATACTTCCATGGTTAAACGCACAAACTAATTACTTAAGCACATTAACAACATAAGTTGTTTATCATAAAAATAATCAGTTAATTATAAGCACATGAACTTTATGTGCTTATAATTAATTTATCTTTATCTCTAACATAACGTATGTGGAAAAAACTTCCCACCGGTGTTTTCATTTTTTTAAATTTTAAAAAGCCCTTTAAATCTTTCTCTCCCTTTCAATTGTTATAGTATGTAATGCTTTTATAAATTTTATGCATATAATATCCATATAATAAGTATTTTTAAGATATTGTTTTTTTTATTCTAGAAAATGAGAGAAGTTTATAGGCAAAAGAATTTTAAGCCACACAAAGCTCATTGATAAAATACAACTACATATACAAAAGATAAAAAACAAATTATTTAGAATAGTGGTTTTAAAAAAATGCCGATTACCTGTGTAAAAAAAAGATATTTTTATTTACATATTTGTTAACAAATAAACAAAACATAAAAATTTTCAATAATTTTTAATAGTATGACTATATTAAAGAAACACGTCATCTAATTAATCTAAAAAAATAAGCGATTTAAATAAAAGAAAAAATACATCACATTTATTAACTTCAAATTAATTTATTTATACGTAATGACATTTGTAGGTATTTGAAAAAGAGTTTTACTTACAAAAAATTAACTAACTACATCAGCATTATCAATTAACAATTGGTAGAATAACCAATTACAAAAATACCAACTAAAGTCAACTTTAGCTTCAATAAAATAAACATCCTGTGATGATACAATTTCAATAAATCGCCTATAAAACAGAACACGTTTTATTAAATAAAACATGAAAAAATTAAATTTTAAAAACGTTAAAACAGATTAAAAATATTATTATTTGCAAAAAAGTATTATTATTTGAAAATAAAACTATATGCAACAATTATTTCATTTGTGATAATAATAATAACTAGCAAAAGGCAACCCGTAATACGGGTTTTGGTCGGTCTGTTACATAATTAATTTATAGTAGCTGTTTTCCACAATTGCTTGCAATCTTGCTTGCTAAGTTGCCTAATTCTTAAGAATCTGATAACAAATAAGTAAAAAACCAAGAACAAACAAACATTTATTTACTAAAACTACTCTATTTAAACAAATTAAAGTATACAGAGAACAACATTGATACTCCTTGAAAGCTGAAAATTTATCTCAAATTTGCTTGTAGACCTTGCTTATGAAACCACTTGAATAAGAAAAGCATCAAAAAAGCCTAGAAGCTGGTATATGCTACATTGAATTTTAAATGTTGATTGGTGTAGATATTTTTAAAAAATTCAAAATGATTTGTTCTTCTATAGCAAATAAATACACCATAAATCTGAAGTTAAAAATGTAATGAATAAGTAAATACAAAGAAAAACATCATATGTGAATTAAAAATCAATGTACCTGATAGAGATAAGCTGCGGTGATACCTGAGTAGTATCACCGCATACACGTATTTATCAAAAAAAATTTTACTTTGATCATAATATAAATGCAAACATATATGCAAACTTTTAACAACTATAAAAGAACATTTATTAGCATCAATTATTTTTAATGTAACAAAGAATGCAGACTACAATGCACGACATTGTTAATAAAAATAAAGTTATGTCAGTCAGTATATATTTATCTAAAGTAGTGAAAAAGAATAAACCATTTAAAAACAAAATTAAAAATTTCTAATGAATATATATTTAGATACCTTAAAATAAAGCATAACACAACACTCTTTTGACAAATTCCAGAGCAAATTTTTAAAAATTTTCTATTCCTTATTATTTTATTCCTTATATCGATAAAATACATATTAAATGCCACATTCAACTAATGTAATTAATACCTTATTTAGATCTCTCTTGATTAACTAAAGAATTTAAATTTTAAATAAACTCTAACTAAATTTTAACAAACAAACAACCAAAATAAATCTTCATATTAATAGTAGGTTATTAAGTTGAGTAATAGATCAAACAATTTAATCTACTCTAATAATCTACTACCTTATTAATAAACTTTAATTTTTTTTCTAAGACTCAGTGTAACTATAATATAGATATTTTTAAAGTAAAAAAGAATTTAATATTATAGTATATATGATTTAAAAAACCTGAAATTTTAAATCTACCTCGAAG